CGTTTGACGAAGACTTGGATGACAACGGATCCGGTGGTGACAGTGACGACGAGACCAATCACTCACGACTTCTCACAGATATATCACTTCTCGACGAGAAGACAAAAAAGTCGCTCAAATGGAAAGCCACTCGTTTTGAGGCCAAACCAGTTGTCAATGAATTTAATTTGTCTCAAAGTTTGTCCACTTTTTACGCCCTTATGTCCAGCCGTTTGTCTAAAACTCTTTGATTTGATTCTTTAGGTGATAATCAAATATCTATAAACGATTTGTTGAAAGACGTGAACGACACTAATATTAGTGTAAAGAAGTTGAAACACTTCAATAAGAAGCGACTTCTGGATCAACCGCTCGAGAAGATAGTGTCCGACAAAATCAAACGCACCGTTAATTACGACAAGACGTCCAAAGAGTTAAAGAAATGGGATTCAGTTGTGAACACCAATAGAAATGCACCACAACTACAGTTTCCACTTAAACAACAGTTACTCACTTTAGAGCCCTCTCGAGAGGTGACCAAACAGTATCGCCCGAAGACTAAGTTAGAGCTCGAAGTGGCGGAACTGTTGGGCAAATCAGAGAATAACTTAACCGATGATAAGGTATTTACTTACGAATGGATTGATTTTAAAATATAGTGAACAATAATACAGTTTTGTTATTGAATTTTGTTCAGCCATTGACTGTCGCCGAAGAGAAGATAATGAAAGCCATGAGTTTAGAAGAGGCGAAACTGCGGCACAAAGAGCTCCAGAAAATGCGAGCTCTTCTCAGCTATGAAGAGGTGAAACTGAAACGTCAGGCGAAGATTAAAAGCAAAAGATATCACAGAATTTTGAAGAGAGAGAAACTCAAGAAAAGTGTCGAAGAGTTTGAAGACATTAAAAAGTCTGATCCGAAAGCAGCGATTGATAAACTCCAGGAATTGGATAAACTGCGAGCTCTGGAGAGGGCGAGCCTTAAGCATAAGAACACAGGAAAGTGGGCCAAACATCTGAAACTTAGGGCCCAATACGATGATAGCGCTCGCATTGCTCTCACAGAACAACTTCAGATCAGCAATAAATTGACACAAAAGAGAGTTCACTTCGAAGATGACGAGGAAGTGGACAAAAGTAGCGATAATGAGAGCGATTCTGACGACAATAATGACGAAGACGTCCCTAAAGACAATGAGTTCGAGCCATTGCCTGAGGATTATAATCCATGGATGAAAAGCGGACGACAGAGTAAACCAAACACTCAACCCATAGAGGAGGAGAAAGAGGAGGCCGAAGACGAACCCATCAATTTTGAGACATGGGGTTCGCCCACTCATGAGTCTATTCAACCCATAAATCCTAAAAAAAATGAAACAATTAATGACAAAAAGTCCAAAACTGTGGAACCGATTCCAAAAGAGGCCGAAATAGATCCGAACGACTTTATTGTAGTGAAGGCTAACAAAATCAAGTCTTCATTTCCCGATTTGGTGACCGAAATGGATTCGGACGCCGAGAGTGTGGATGAATCGGACGGTATATCAGACGACGAACAAAGACAACTGGTGTCCGAAGCGTTCGCCGACGACGACGTGATGAGTGATTTTAAAAGCGCCAAAAAGGAGAGGATAGAGAACGAGAGCGCGAAAGACATTAACCTTCATTTGCCGGGTTGGGGTTCTTGGGCTGGAAATGGTGTCAAACAAAGTAAACGCAAACGTAAAAAGTTTACGATTAAAGCCAAGACAAAGGAGCGAAAGGACGGCAACATTGGAAATGTGATCATTTCGGAGAAAAACGATGACATTATCGCTAAACATAGAGTAAATCAATTGCCGTTTCCTTTCAAGAATGTGGAAGAGTTTGAGAATAGTATTCGTC